CTGCGCCCATTTGCAACCTGTGGACTTGACATTTGTCCTCTTTGGCAGTAAGCGGATGCTTCTGGGTGCCAGCCACGGTGCTTGCTTTGGAAGCAAACCCGGATCAGCAAAAGGGAGAATTCGTGCCCTCTGGTAGCTGTGGGGAACAGAGGCGGCTCCGTGCATCACCTCTGCCCCCACGAGTCTTTGCTCTCACCGAGGCCTCTTCAGCTCGAAGCCACAGCACCGAGCTTTTTGAAGCTGTTACTGGCTGTGCAAGTTTCCTCGGGCTGCCAGAGCCTGTCCCAACCACCTGGGTGCCTAAAAACTAGAGCAGTTCATTTTCTCTCAGCTCTGGAGGCCCGAAGTCGGGAATCCAGGTACCGGCAGGGCCTTGATCTCTTGCAGACGCTAGGGGAGGATCCTTCCGTGTGTCTTCCAGCTTCTGGTGTTTGCTGGCTTCCTTGGCGACCCTTGGCCTGTAGACACTTCACTCCAATCCTCCGTCTTCACGTGGCCTTCTCACTGTGTCTTTTCATGTCATCTTCCCTCTGTGTGTATCTGCCTCTCTGTCCAAATTGCTCCTTTTTATAAGGACACCAGTCATATAGGATCAGGGCCACCCTATTGACCTCATGCTAACTTGATGACCTCTGTAATGACCTGATTTCCTGATGCGGCCACATTCTAAGGTATTGGGGGTGGGGGGTCAGGACCCCAACATCTTTTTTGTGGGGGGACACATTTCAATTCATAACATACACCAAGCCCCCTGCTAGCTCTAAAGTAAATTGTCTTTGATCTCACTATGGCATTTCAACATAGGTCTTGTCCCTCTTTTTTGTTTTTTTTAAGTCTAATTTAAAATAGCTAGATTTACAGAAGGGTTGCCGAGGTAGTACAGTGACGGGGGTTGGTTGCAGGAACCCCGTGGGTACCAAACTCCGCGATGCTCAAGTTCCTTATGCAGTCGGCCCCGTAACTGGGGACGTGGAACGCATGGACCGTACTAAGAATTCCCCATATACCCTCCACCCAGCATCCCCCAATGCGAATATGTGACACGAACAAGGTACATTGATCAAAACTACGAAAGGGACAGCGGTACAGTCCTAGTAGCTAAACCACAGACTTCCTTTGGATTTTCCCAATTTTCCCACTAATGGCCTTTTTCTGGCCCAAGATCTGATCCAGGTTCCCGCTCTGTATTCCGTCCTCATGTCCCCTTGGTCTCCACTCTGTGATAATTTCTCAGTCTTCGTCGATTTTCCTGACCCTGACCCTTTTGAAGAGGACTGGTCAGGGATTCTGCAGAATGTCCCACAATTTGGGTGTGTCTGATATTTTCTCAGGAGGACGCTGGGTTTGTGGATTTGGGGGAAGAGTCCCACAGAGGTGAGGGGGTGCCCTTCCCATCATGATATATCGGGAGCACCCAACACCCTGACTGGTGGTGTTTATGTCACTACAGGTGGTGTTGGCCTTGCCCCCTTGCTCAGGGAGGTGTCAGCCGTGTCTCCACCGTTGAGTTGCTGTCTTTCCTGTCCCTACTCTGTGCTTTAGAAGCAGGTCACCATCCAGCCTACTGTCAAGGGGAGGGGAGTCCAGCTACACCTCCTGGAGGGGGAATATCAAAGAATTTGTGGGCACAAGTTAAACTGCCACAATGATTAGTAAATATTTGGGGGAAATGCTTCGAGGCTATGCAAATTTCCTGTCTCTCCTCAAAGTTTTGCCGACTGATTTCACGTTCATGCAAGGGTCTAGCCTGCGGTAATTAGCACCGCGGTATCTAAGAGTGATTTTCAACTTCCCTCAGTCCTTCTACGTTTATTAATTGGAATTCTGTAAGGAGCATTTGTCCCTCCTCCCTCCTTTATTTATTTATATCCGTGTGGATGCATGGTTATTTATTTTATTCTTCGGGCTATAATCTAGTACTAGCGTTATTTATTTTGCCTCTCAAATTGTTCCAGCTTTGGCCGTCAGAAACTCTTTCTTTACTTAAAAATGTTCTGGGCTCATCTTGTATATTTCCTGCCGCAGCTCTGGATGCGGCCATTCCTCCAGGGAGAAATGGCTCTTTTTTTTGTTTTCCTTTGTCCGTGCTGCACGTGCAGCCTGTGGGATCCCAGTTCCCTGACCAGGGATCGAACCCACGCTGCCTGTACTGGAAGCATGGAGCCTTAACCACCAGACTGCCAGGGAAGTCCTGAGAAATGACTCCTTTTATTGGAGAATGGTGTTAGACACCAAGACCTCGGTACTAGTGGGCTCATTGCTCTGGGCTGTCATTGCTTCTTGGCCTTCTCAGCTGCCGTCTCCAAGTCCAAACCCTCTCCATTGCCGCGACCCACAAGGCCCCTGTACAGCCGGCCCTGTCACCCTCTCAGCCGTCCTCCTCCTTCCTGTCGCTCCCCTGCGTCCCTGCCTAACACTCTCCAGCCACATGGGTCTTCTGTCTGTTCTTCAGACACTCTGAGTTTGTTCCCACCTTAGGGCCTTTGCACTCCCAGTGCCTTCTGCCAGGAGTGCATCTCCCTCTGGATCGCCCCACAGCTGGGTCCTCCTGGTGATCAAGATATCAGCTCGCAGCCGTCTCTGAGAGACTTTTCTGCACCCCTGAATCTAAAATAGCTACACCCTCCCCTCCCCCAGTCACTATCCCACCCTCCACATAAGTTCCTGACTCCAGGATTATCTTGCTTATTGTCAGTGTGGCCCCTCTAGGCGTCACCTCCATGAGGGCCGGGGACTTTGTCTTGTTCACCTTTATGTCCCCAGGGCCCAAAACAGTGCCCGGCGCATAGTAGGTGCTCAGTAAACATTTGCTGAATGACTGAGGAGACGAAAGCACAATGCTGCTGCTCCCATTGTTCGGATGAGGAAACCGAGGCTGAGCCCATCTGAGATGTGTTCAGAGACACCTCGCTGTGGAGTAAGGGGTTGTGGCCTCAGCCTGTGTGACTGAGGACCCCCAGCGCCCGTCCTGCTGGGGAGGGGGAGGCTGATGTGAAGTATCAAGACCTCGAGGCGGGAGGCCTGGCTGATGGGAGGCGAGACCGGAATGACCCAGGGAGCCCAGGGTCCCCTCACTGACCCTCCTGGAAGTGGGCGTGGCCTTTCCTTGTCAGGAGATGGGTGGAGACAGGGCTGAGCTTGGTTGGGGTCCGCAGGTGAAGAGGGACCATGCAGGCCCATCGGCATCTCCGACTTGAGACCAGGTAGTGGGGATGCCGACCTCCTGCTGGAAATCACTGCGAGGCCTGGGGACCCTGGTCCACCCGGGGACGAGGTGTGCTGGCAGACACCGACAGCCGCTGGGAGGTGGGTCTCTGAGGCCGTGGTGTCTGTTTGCGGAGGATGAGGGAGCAGAGAGCGACTCCCCACGGGGTCCCCAGGGCGGGTTGATTTCAGGCCCTTCAGCCCCCGGGAGGCGTGTGTTGGGGGAGCTTCCTCATCCGTCAGGGCCTGGAGTGTCCTCCTCTTTGTCTTTTTCCTGAGGTTGGGGTCCTGGGGGCCCACAGGTGCCATACCTCCTGGAGGCTGGACGGGGCGGGGCTCTCGGTCATCAGTTTGTAAGCTTTTGGTAAGAGTTTGGATGCGGCTGAGAATGTGAGCAAGTTGGGGGACCCCTCCCCAGAAAAGTTGATCTTGTTGTACACCTGGCTGGGGGGCAAGCAAGTTCACGGGCCTGGTGGGCTCTTCGGGGCCCGTCTGTGACCCCCGCAGGCCCCAGCTGCTACACGCTGCTGTGCGTCGGAAGTTGTGGGGAAAGGGCCGAGGGGAAGGGGCTGCTTGGGGGTGAGTCTTCCGTCCTCTTCCGTATCGGTCCGCATGTCTGAGTCTCCCTCTGCCTCCTTCTGGGCCTCCATCCCCCTTAATTTGTTTTTTATTTTATTGAAGTATAGTTGGTTTACAACATTGTATTAATTACTGCTCTACAGCAAAGTGACTCAGTTATACATACATGTACATTCTTTATTAATATTCACTGTGGTTTATCACAGGATATTGGATGTAGTTCCCTGTGCTGTACAGCAGGACCTTGTTGTTCGTCCATCGCCCCCCTTTCTTTGAATCTTGTCTTCCTCTGCCTTTCGGCCTGTTCCCCTCTGTCTGTCTGTCTGTCTGTCTGTCTCTCTCTCTCTCTCTCTGCCAGGCCCCAGGCCCCTCTCCCTCTGTCCTCATTTGGGATCTGATCTCATCCACCTCTCTGTCGCTCCCTCTCCCTCTGTCTCCCTGCCTTCCTCTGGAGCTCTGTCTGTCTTTTTATTCTCCCTCATTCCTCGTCTTGGTGTCTCTCTCCTGTGCCCGCCTCTCTTTCTCTCTGAACAGCCCGCATCTCCCCGGGGAAGCGCCCGCTGCCCTCTGAGCCCGCAGTGCTGTGTGTGGCCTCCTTGGTTGAGGGCTTTGATGGCGAGAGGGGTCTGGCTTCCCTGAGCTGAGGCATGAGACCCCTCAGGTGCTTCCTGGGCTTCCTGCTGTGCTGGCTCCCACCAGCTTGTCGCTGGCTTGTCCATGTCACCCCCACCCCAGGAGGCCGGAGCAGGGGCTTGGTTGGAGGTGGCTTGGGGTCACAGAGGCCAGACCCCAATACCCTGCCTCTGTGCAGCTGCAGGTCTCGGGGGCTTGGTCTCCCCGGCCTGCGTTTCTAAGGCTGTGGCAGTTTCTCTGTGGCCAGTTTCCCGTGGCAGGTGTGGCTGACGGGAGAGGGGAGCCTGGGTGCGTGTAGGGGTGATGGCAGCTCCGGGGAGGGCAGGAAGCCACAAGACCTCGACCCCCTTTGGAACCCTCTTTTCTGCAGACCACGCTCAGCCTAGGTGTGGGTGGGGACACCTTGTACGTGACGGGGGAAGGACACACATTGGCAGTTCGTGGCTCACCTCGGGGGGTCTACGGATGTGTCTTAGCTCACCGGGAGGCAATAGGGGCAAGTAGGGGCAAACTTCAGCAAGGGACGGAATTCCTGAAAGCCTGCATTTCTGACCTGCCCGGTTGGCCGTTTGCATCCTCCTTAGAAACCAGGCCATGCGGAAAAAGTTAATCTTGTACTTCAAGAGGAGGAATCACGCCCGGAAACAATGGGTAAGTCATCACCTCGTCCCCCACCCCTGGAATCTGTTCTGCTGCCCCCTCCCCTCCACGGACCAGGCTTCCTTGAGAGCCGAGACCGTCCAGGCCACTCAGGCCACACCCACCGGGATCCCTGGGTTCTGCAGCTCATTCCTGCGTGGCCAGGTTGTGAAGAAAAGCCAAGGGCAGTGAGAGAAATGGGAAAAGACAGCAGCTGCTTCCGTGAAGCTGGGGGCTCAGGGCTCGGCTGCCTCAAGGAAGCTGGGGTGTGAGTGGGTGGGGGGGCTGGGAACTGTGCCCCTCCTTTTCCAGCCTGGAAGGGGAGAAAGCAAAATGTTGGCCGGGAAAATTGGTTCCTTGTCAGAGGCCCTACTGTGGCTATTTTAGGCAGAAAGAGAGAAGTTTGTTGGCAGAGGTGGAAGACGGGGGGGGGGGCTGTGTGCTGGGTGGCGGTGACTGCAGGGCGCTCCCTGAGAAATGAGCTTTGCCCAGCCCGCTGTGCCCATTCCGGGCTCAGGAAAATCCGGGCCCAGAGAAGCAGTGAGGCCCCCCTTGCTTAGAAAGTGGTACGGACTCCTGCATCCCACCGCACACTCTGCCATCTCAGCTGGGAGGCATGCCCAGGGCAGGGGAGCACATGTGAAAGAACACCTTTTGTTGTGGTTTAGGGTGGGAGTTTACGTCACCGATTCACTGGGTGAGGTTAGGGCTGAGTGATGGAGGGGGAGTTACCCATTAGTATTCTTTCAGCTGTGAGAGGAAGAAGCACTGGCTCAGATGGGCTTAAACAGTAAAGGAGTTTGTGTAGCTGAAGAAGTCCACTGAGTGGAGTTCAGGAGTGGTTTGATCAGGTTGCACCTTCATTTCTATGCCGTTTTTCTTCAAGTCTGCATATCAGGACATTGACAAGCTGGTTTTCCTTTGGGACCTGAATTTCTACAGCAGGTTTGAGTCCTTCTAGAGCCAGAGACAGAGCTGCTCTTTCTCAGACCATCTCACAAAAGCTCTGATTTCACCACTTGAGGGCCTCGGTCCCTCTGAACCAGTTTCTGAACCCACCCTGCTCTGGCCTTAGACCTCGGCTGGGCCCTTGGAGAAGGGATACATTTCTGGCCCACACGCTGGGCGACTGGGAAGCTGGTTGGGCGGCACCCTAGACCCCAGGGCCCCACGGGGTGAGAAGTGGTGGGCTTCCCTTTTCTTTCCAACCTCCTCAGACTCCCACATTGACTGGATGGTGACCAGAGGCGCCTGGCTGGATAGATGGGGTTCATGAAACGGGGCATCCCATCTCATTCATTGAGTTAAGAAATATTTACTGAGCACCTGCTGTGCGCCTGAGTGGAGGAGACGCAGTGACAAGTGCCGTGCAGAGGGATGGGGTCGGGGACAGCCTGGATATCCGACCTCGGTACTGAGAGAGGAATGACCAGAAAGGACCACCCGTGTGAATGTCTGGGGGTGTGAGTGTCAAGGAGAGGGCGCAGCAAGTACAGAGGCCTTGAGGCAGGAACTGGCCTGGGGGGTAGCACAGGACAGCATGTAGCAGGCAAGCCTGAAGTACAGGGCACGTGTGGGGGGCTGTGGTCGAAAATCATGGGCGCCAGGTCACCTGGAAATGGAATGTCTAGATTTTACTCTAAATACAGTCGGACACTTATTCTTGATGTATTCTTAATAAAGAATACAAAATCTTTAAGAATTTTTAGTTATTCGGAAAATTTGACAGTGATACAGGAAATCTGACAGAAGAGTAACAGTGAACACCTATAAGCCCGCTATCTGGAATCCATCATGGTTAACATTTCTTTATATTCGCTGTGTGTGTGTGTGCGCGTGTGCGTGTGTGTGCGTAAGTATGAATGTTTTTGTGTTGAGCTGTTAGGACGTAGGTGCAGACACCCAGACCCTCACCTGGAACACTTCCTGGAGGAAGGAAATTCTCTCTTTATCACACCTAACGATTCACAGCGTTTCCTGATTCACAGCTTTTCCCCTGTAGTCCTGCCCGGGGGTGGGGTTCCTTTGGGGCTGGAAGAAGGAGATCTGATTTACATTTTTAAAGGATCCCAGTGGCTGCTGGGAGGTGGAGTTGGGTGGGTGTAAGTTGTTCAGAAATCTCCCAGGGCTCCTTGTGGAGGGGTCCCTTGAGGGGATGGAGGGGAAATGCGCTTATTTAAAGATAGAGGAACTGGAGAGACTTCTAAGAAATTCTGGGTTCGCTTTGTGGCCAAGCTGAGCCCATCTTAAGAGAGGCCCTTGTGAAAACGAATTCCTAAACCACAGAAGCTGCAACAGGAGGGCGTCTGGAATGATCTCATTCTTCTTCTTATATAAATGAACCCAACGCCCCATGCATCGTCATCAGCAAGGACTGGGAGGGCGCTTGGCCAAGACGGGCCCCCTCAGATCTGCATGCTCCCCGCCCGCCCCTCCCCCCCACCCACCATGTCAGTCAGGTCCCCTTCTGTGGGGCCCTCACTCCTTAGAGGTTCCTGGGACCCACGCTGCCCTACACTCCTGCTCTGCCCAGAGAGCTGAGGCTCTTCCCCCAGAGGGGCACCCCACCCCAACAGGAGCCTCCACCAGGCCTGCCCCGTCCTCCCCTGGGAAGCTGAGCTCGCCCGCCCCACGCCCCCTGAAGCCGCTGAGATGCGCAGATTCAAACCCTACCCACCATACCCTCTGTGAGTGATCTTGGGACAGCCGTCTTGCCCTAAGCCTCACTTTTCCTCATCTGTGAAATGGGGTCATGGCGGGGCTGCAGGAAGGGTTAGCGCAGTGCCTGGCGGGGGGAGTGTGTGTGACTGATGGCCTGGCAGGATGGGTTAGTCAGGGGTTGAGCTCAGCCTGGACGGTGGGTGTATTCATTTCCTGGGGCCGCTGTAACAAATGACCACAAACTAGGTGCCTTAAAACAACAGAAATGTATCCTCTCACTTCTGGCTCTAGAGGCCAGAAGTTCAAGATCAAGATGGGAGCAGGGCTATGCTCCCTCCAGAGGTGCTAGGGGAAGCTCCTCCCTGCCTCTTGCAGCTCCTGGTGGTTCCAGACAGTTCCTAGCTGTGGCCACATGACACCCATCTCTGCCTACATCCTCAGCTGGCCTTTCCCCTCTCTTCTCTCACACGGACGCCTGTCACTGGATCTAGAGGTCACCCTAATCCAGGATGACCTCATCTCAAGATCCTTAATGGCATCTGAAAACACGTTTTTTCAAATAAGGTCACATTTGAAGATTCAAACCCCCTAACCTGGGGGTTAGGATGTGGCACATCTTTTGGTGGGGGGGGGGTGTCACCATTGAACCCACTACAGTGGGCACTGGCATATTTTCAGCATAGTCTGCCTTATCTCTTTCTCCTGGCTTGTCCCCACTTTCCTTTTTTATCTATTTCTTTTTTAGAGACGGCTAAAGTTTTGCTCACTCCTCTCATATCCCTCACACCTCTTATTTTTCACTTCTGGGCTTTTTCCTGACCTGCCCCGGCATCCGTGACTTGCTTCTGCAGCCTGAGTTACAGGCAGCAGGACAGGGGCTGGGAGAGCTCGACCTCGTCACCGTCACGCATCGCTGAACACGCAGGACAGCCAGCAGGGGAGCATTCTCCAAGTCTGTGGTGCCTGGGCCGCTGAGCCCAGCAGAAGGCCTTTGCATGAGGCTGCAGGCTCCCTGGGGTGACCAGGTGACCACAGAGGCCAGTTCCTCTGGCCAGTCAGCTCCAGCCACCTCCCTAACACTTCCCTCCTTGTGCTCTGTCCGTCAGCCTGAGGCTGTCTTCCTCAGCTTTGGGGGTACCTCCTGGTCACCCCATCTCTCATTGTTTCCCTAAGTGTAGAGCTCCATCCTGACACACCTGGCGGGGTAGGAGGGGTTCAAATCCTGGCCCTGCTTGGTGACCGGGGCAAATCATTTAATTCCTGGTCTCAGGTTCCTGTTCCGTTTGGTGGGGATTATAGTAACACACACCTCATCAGGCCACTGAGTGAAAGGCTGCAAGCAGTGTGCTCACAGCAACGCCCGGACTGCAGTGGGTGCTCAGAACCGTCAGCTGCAAGCTGACCCTAAAATTCATGGGGACCCCAAATAGACAAAACAACCTTGAAAAAGAACAACCAGGTTGGAAGAGTCACTTGCTGATTTCAAAACATCTCACAAAGCTACAATAATCAAAACAGCATGGTTCTAGCCTAAGGACAGACATGGAGACCAATGGAACAGAATAGAGAGGCCAGAAACAGGCCCTCACATCTGTGGATGCTGGATTTTTGACAGGTGGCCACGTCCAGTCAATGAGACAGGACCATCTCTTTCAACAAATGGTGCGGGGACAATAGGACTGCCACACTCACAGGAATGGAGTTGGATCCCACCTCACAGAATTAACACAAACAGTAACTCAAAATGAATCAAAGACCTAAATGCAAGAGCTAAAGCCGTACAATTCCTAAAAAAAAACCCATAGGGGTGAATCTTCACGACCTTGGATTGGGTAGCGGATCTTGGGTGTGACACCAAAAGCATGAGCAGCAAAAGGAAAAGTAGACGTACTGGACTTTATCAGAACAACCATCAGGATCCTGACCTCCCGTCCCTAATTGTGTGATCCCGGGCTGACGGCCCTGAGCTCTGAACTCCTGCCTCTACAGAGGGGATGGCGGTCATGGCCTTTTGTTGTTTGGGAGAGTCAGTCGCGGGAAGGACTCAGCTCTGTGCCTGGCATGTGACACAGTGGCACTTAGCGAGTGTCAGCGGCGATGCTGATTGATGGTGATGATGATGCTACGAAGAGGAATTCCCACTGAGGGTGACCTGTTTTCATAACACACACAGACTGTGGTCGCAGGGGCCATCCTCCTTTCCCTCTGCAGATTCTTGCTCCTGGCACCCGGCAGACTAGCTTAGCAGTGCTCCAGCCTCTGAGGTGTGAGTGTGACTGTGAGAATGTGTGTATGTGAGTTTATGAGTGAGTGTGTATTGTAAGTGTGAGAATGTAAGTGTATGTATTTGTCCACGTGAGTGCATGTATGTGTAAGGGAGTGTGCATGTGTTACGTGTGAGTGTGCATGTGTTATGTGTGAGTGTGTGCATGTGTGTATGTGAGTGTGTGACCTGCTTTCTTCCCTGGCCAGTGGGGCCACTATGTGGACACCCCCTGGCAGGGTCATTTCTGCCCCAGGGAAGGGCCGCAGCCACTGCTGTGTTCTGTCCCGAGGCGCCCCATGCCCTCGGCCCCCAGTGGATGGACAGCACCTCCAGTGCACAGGCCACAGCAGGTGGCACTGTGGTTAGACGTGGAGGGGGACTTCCTCATCCTGGACAGTCCTCAGGAGCTGCTCACGTCTTTGCGTGTGGTGCTTGGGCCTGGGCAGTGTGGCTGCGGGTGCCCGCACGGCTGTTCCTGTCCCTTGCTCCACGAGGGCCCCAGGCAGGGCTGGGGCGTCTTGCTGGCCGCCCTGCTCACCCCTCCACTGGGCAGCTGGTTGGTGGCCCTGCGGGTTTCTTGCCTATCTTCACGGGTAACTGCATTCTTTTCCTCTGCTGGTTTTTGGTGAACATGTTCTCGCCTTTTCCCCATCTGACATATTTTCTCGCTCTCACCCATCAGATCGAGGCCTCTCTGGCGGGGCTGAGAGCGTGGGGAGGGTCCCCTGCTCTGATGGTGGGCTGGGCTGGGTTTCCTTCACGCCCGTTCTCACCCTCAGGGGCGCTGCTCTCAGCACCTTGCCACGAACGTGTGTGGCTATTGTCTCTACTGGAGCTTGACCTCCCAAGCGTTCTTGGGGCAGCCCACATACCCGGGGAGCCCCCGGGAGCTGAAGGTCGAGTTCTGCTCCTCAAAGCTGGCCTGACGGCCACTTGGGGACCATCACGCCGCTGGGTTTGTTGAGGACCAAGGTCACAAGCTGCCTTGGTCAGAAGCTGAAATTCAGGATGGGGAGGGGTGTCTGGGCACGAGGACCAGAGACGGGTTTTCTGATTATGCTGAAGTGTCGAGGAGGCATTCAAGCGGGACTCCCAGACCATGCCATCTGTCCACGGCAGCTGTTAGAGACGGGGAGATCGGGTCTCACGGACAGCCAGATGCTCCCTGCCTGCTTGAGGTCCGGGTCACCTTGGAGACTTGGAAGCCAGGCAG